GACTCTCAGTTGCACCCTGATCTCAAGCTTAGAGTTATGCTTGTTTTGAATAACTGTTCTATCAGACGAACACTTAGGGATGGGTGGTCTGCCCCTCTTTGCACACTAGCTACTAAGCTTACATTCAAATTTAGGGCTTACCTTTAGCAAATTATGCTTTTATACCTTGCTGTAACCTCATGTTTTAATAAAATCAGCAAATGGGCTTTTTCGGTCAGTGATAAGGAGGAGTGTCTATCAAATTTTGCTGGCATGTGTTCTAATGCATCTCTACTTTCAAGCAGACGATATTGAAAAAACTTTTAACAGTTAACAGAAAAGCTATTATTTAAACCAAATTAGGAAAATCAAACTTTTTGTATCACTCCTTCTTTCTTTCAGTGAATTTATAATTTGTAACTTAAATCTTAAATATGTTTTGAATAGGGGCACAGGGGTGGCTCAGTCGCTTGAGTGCCCCACTCTTGATTTCGGCTCAGGTCACGATCTCACAGTTGGTGGGATGGGCTCCGCAGTGGGCTCCGAGCTTACAGTGTGTGCAGAGGCTGCGTGGGATTCTCTCTCTATCTCTCTCTGCCCCTTCCCCCATCTGCATGCATGCGTGGCACTCTCTGTCAAGATAAATAAACTTTAAATAAATAGGGTTGAATAAATATGTCAGAGAACAAAGAAATTCGGCTAACAATATAACTGAGTAGATGAATTCACCGTTCATTAAATTACATGTGGAGTTATATAACCATTAATAAATCTGAATGAATAAATGAATCAATAAGCAAACCCGAATAAGATTGACTCTTGGTATATAACAACATACAGAGATCACCCTAAGCTAAAACACAAGACTTTCAGGACAACAGTAAGATGGAAATTTTATTGTAACATGCAATCTGCGAAATAACTGCCAAATTGCCAACAATAAGGAAAATCTCAGAGAAACTGCCAATTCAATGTTAGAGTATTAATTTTAATTAAAATTTTAAAATCCTGAACTGAAAATTCAAAACACAGATGCAGATCAGTCAAGTTTAAAAAACAAAACAAAAAGCCAAGAAAACCAATCTCAGGCTTATTCAGCGTTCGATGATGCTACTTCCTTGCAGTACTCACAGAAAACTGAATTTTATGAATAACCCAAGTCAAAGTACTTTCGATTTTTAAATATTTGATGACTTCAGAATACTACATTAGCTCCTAACTTTAGATGTTAGATTCACCTTTGTAATATTGATTAAAAATTATTTAATATTTTGAGAAGTAAACCAATTTTTACATATATGAAAATAATGCCATTCTGTATACTCTTTATGCCTATAAAATACTTTCAAATCTTTATTAACTAATTTCTTATATATGTTTTGGTGTTTACATTATTGTTAAGATAGAGAGACCCATAGGAAACTAACATTCTCTGAATATCTAAATCACGAGCATTCTCCTGGGTGCTTTGACGAATATGTCATTTAAAAATAACATTAAATGAAGTTTTTTTTAACACCTTTTTAAGATTTGATCTACCAACCATAACAACTAAATACTGGTATATAGCAACATTACAGAAGTTGGCCTAAGCTAAAACCCATAGAGTCTTTATAATCGGGTAAAGGAAAGAAGAAAAATGAACAAAAAAAAAAGACTACACTATTATATAAAGATTTTAAAAACAAATGCCACCTGACTGGGCCACAGATATTCACATCATTGACTTTGACTGCAGTTTCATATTTAGTGAAGGGCACTAGAGGGCTCATAAGCGCTGTAAGGCACCCAGTACAATGGCATAGACGTTGGCAGACACTCAATAAAATAATTTTAACTTCTGTTGATATGTTGATATCTTTGTTTTTGTTCATTTATCAACCTAGTACAAATCAGCCAATAGGTAGCATGGCATCTGTAAAACTTCTGAGGTCCCATCTGAGCTTAATGTTCTCTGAAGTCCTCCATAATTTATTGCCTATTCTAACAAACATTTAGTATAATCCACAACCTTATATTGTTAATCATCTTTCTTTGCTTATGGGTTGACTCTCACATAAATGGGCCTATGTAGCTTATATATTCACAGCTGTAGTAATATCTAACATAATTTCTTAAGAGGTAGCTAACAACTGTTTGTTATAAATCTGAAGTTTCATACGATTGTGTCTTATCAACTACATTCTGGCCAAAGAATTACATGTTTTCGCTGAAACTCTGTTGATTCTCCATTACTTACAGAATAATGGCCAAATTCCTTTGTATGGAATTCAAAGCCCTAGACTCTGGCACTATGTTAGACTTTCATCCTCAACCTACATTCCGGCCACTACCACCCAGCATTTGCCAAACTCTCGCTATACTTTTGTATCTCCAGACATCTACTGGTCTGGTTCTTTCTGCAATTCCCGATGGCACACTCCTGTTCCTTCTGTGAAGCTCACCCCACTAACTCTTCTGTGAAGCTCTCCCAGAACCCATCACCACTTCTGCCCCCACCGACTCAAACCCTTGTGGGAGACAAATCCTTCTAATTGTTTGGCAGCCACTTTTATCAAAACATTTTTCTCCTTTAATAGAAGGAGATCATTATTAGTCTGCCTTCCCTTTTATGAAACTTCCTCAGATTCTATTATTATTATTAATTATTATTGTTGTTGTTGTTGTTATTATTATTCTGCTTTCTCATCTGTGAAACTTTCTAAGCCTTCCATATCCCCAACCCTCTCTCTGGTATGTAATTCTACTCTAGCACATAACACAGCACCCTGGAATTATTTACCTTAATAAGCACTGACCTTATTAGACCCTGTGGGCTCCCTGAGGATACCATCTCATTCCTCATGGTAGCCCCAGGGCCTAGCTATACTTGATACACAGTAGGTGTGCAATACACGTTATTAAATTAATAAACAAAATACAATTGCTTTCTGCCAAATCAGAAAAACCTGCTACTGAGCATGCCTCCTTAGCAATCCAGCAGAACCCTTACTCTTTGGCAATGAGATACCAGCAAAAAAAGCGGACTCCAGTAAACTAGGGCGACTGAAGGAACTGAGGGTGCCACTTGGGAGGGAGGCAGGATTCCAGCAAGGGCAAAGACAGGCCCTTTAAACACCGAACAATTTTGTCACGTTAACTTCAGGACGCTTATTTACTTCGCCATGACAGACGCCATAAGGAAGGCTTTGCTAACATTCAGCTCTGCAATAATCATCACATCTGTAAAGTGACACCCCAGTGTCCATTTCACATAGGCATGTCCTTAGAGAACGAGTGACTGGGAATATAACAGCTACATGTACTCTTATCAATTAACTGCATGAAAAGATTTTATACATACAATTTTTAACAAAAGGAACGCAAACCAGAATTAATGTGGCATGGTGTTAAAAAATTACTGCATTCTAACATGCCTAATTTGTACCACAAGAAAATACATATCTGTACACATGTATATTCCAGCATAATCTTTTCGTGTAGGTGTTCTTGGTTTCATTTCTGGGTGCTATGACTCAGCAACAGCAAAATGACGAGACTATAATATAAAGTCTACTGTAGATATTGGAAGACTCAAGGAGTACAATTAATTCAGCAAAGACTTGCTCAAATGCCAGGAGATACAGAAGATGTAACTACACATCATGTAACATCACTACTCTCAGGCAAAAATTTAAGCTTACAGCCTAAAATAAAGCTTTTTGCTACCGTACGCTCAGAGAAAGCAAAATGGAAAGTAAAAGCAAAAAATAAGTAAGGAAATCACTAAACTGGTCTTAAAAGGAAAAACATTATGTAACGATGACTAACTGGTGGTTCTATTTTCTACAAAAAACCATGATTTTCAATAGACATAAGCACTGTTTCCACTGACCCCTTGAAGTTAAAAAAAAAAAAAAAATTAACAAAATGTTCCCCAAGCTATAAACATTTTAAGAACCAAAAACTACTTTAAAGGAAAAATAAACATGACTACATTTGACATTTTAAAAACTTTCATTTCATAACAGTTAAATGCTATAGACATCTAAAATTATTGGTTGTGCTTAACATATGCAACATTGTTTATAAAAGTTTTTACTGCTCTTGGCCAGTTTTCTCCCAGGGAAAAACACCTACACTTAGTAGTACCATAGGAAATTGCTATCTTTACATTAAAAAAAGAAATTTACCAGTGAAAATGGGGCATAAAGGTTTCCCTTGGCTGAAAAGTGTATCTTCTCTCCTAAGTCAGAGGCTTCCTAGACTCTCTTCTTAATGGAAATGTTAATTTGAGTAATGAATGTTGAGAGCACACACATATTCCATAGATGCTATCTCTTACTCATTTTTCTAAGGTTTGAGAAAATCTCTTCATGACCCAATTTCAAATAGTGGTTCTATCACATTTGTGTTTTTGACTATAAGCTGCCTTGTATTCAGAATGTAAGCAGGCATCAGACTACAAACTCATCCTGCTAAAATTTTTCAAAAATAACTCGTTAGTAAAAATTATTTATTTGAGGGGCACCAGGGTAGTTCAGTCAGTTAAGCATCTGACTCTTGATTTTGGCTCAGGTCATGATCTCACAGTTCGTGGGTTCGAGCCCCATGTCAGGCTCCACGCTGACAGCATGGAGCCTGCCTGGGATTCTCTCTCTGCCCCTCCCCTGCTTGTGTGCTCTCTCTGTCTCCCAAAAATAAATAAATAGGGATGCCTGGGCGGCTCAGTCAGTTAAGCGTCCAACTCTTGATTTCGGCTCAGGTCATGATCTCATGGTTTGTGAGTTTGAGTCCCATAGTGGGCTCCATGCTGAGCCTGCTTGGGATTCTCTCTCTCTGTCCCTCCCCCTGCTCTTTCTCTGTCTCTCTCAAAATAAATAAATAAACTTTAAAACTATACACATATACACACACACACACACATATATATATATATATAAACTTTTAAAAATAAATTAAAAAATGATGATTTGATGGCATTTCCTTAAAACAAACAGAAAAAAATTATTTATCTTGCATGCTACTGAAGGTTTCTTTACCTGCAGATGGCTGGGAAACATTCTTGAAGACCTTTCTTTTTAACTAAAGATCCTTCAAGGCAGTACATAATGATGTCCATAACCTTTATAGAAAAGATACATATGTAAACTTAATTTCAAATACTTAATTTTCCAAAATTTAAATTATTCACTTAGGCCTCATTTGCATGAAAATTCTAGACAGTTTGATCGCAATATTTACTTTAAAACTACACTATATTTACTAAAGCTACAGGAGATTTACTTTATACTATCGACTATTCTTTCTCCTACCTGTAAAAAAACAAAAGAAAGAACAGTAAAAGGAAGAAACAAGACTTGTTGACTTCAAAGGCGATTCAGATTTATCTACAATACGGGTAGCTTTTATTCAAACACACTACATGTATTGTTTGATTCATAATGGAAGGCATTAAAGAGGACATACTCTTCTAAGAATTACTCCAACATAGACTACTTCCCTGTGAATGGTAAGCGTACACAACGATTACTTTGATTTGTTAACGAAATTTGAATAAGGTCCTGTGAAATGGTACAAAAGCTAATTCGTTTAATCGTCTCTCTTTCGTTTTGAGATGCTGGAAATAAAAATGCTGATTTCTATACTGCACTGACCTATCTGATTTAGGCTGTTGCTGCCACATTTACAGCAGGATATTCTTACCTCTACGAGAAGATCCACAACATCTGTGGGCATCTTTTCAATAAGAATCTCAATGACTCTCAGAACTTCCCCTTTAGCTCGTGCAAGAGCTGTTGTGTGCACGCTCTGCTGTGACTGGGTATTGGCTGCAAGAGCTGTGTGTCTGTGCACCTGTGGAAACAGTTCCGTGCTGTAGGTATGATTGACGCTCCACTCAGTTCTGCATTCCCAGCCACTAGTTTGTTTTTCACTTGTTAATACAGTAGGGGAAAAAGGAGAATCAACAGAAACAAACCTCTTGGGGTGGGTCAGAAAACACTTGATTGCAAAAGAAAAGTATTTAGTACAGTAAAAGCTCAACGAGCATTCTCTGATAAACTTCGGTAAGTTCCCGGGTATTATATGAGACCTTAAGACAACATTACCATGACATTTCTCCAAAGACAGACTGAAGGTCTGTGAATTTGGTAGATCTGGTGCTGAGGTGGACAGCAGTTAGAAGATACCAGCAAGCAAAAGACAGGAGACTTGCTCTCAAGTAATAATGGTAAATGATGCTTATATAACACTTCCGGTCTAACAGGCATCATTGTAAAGTGTCGTATTTCCCATATAAAGTGTCGTATTTCCCATATACCTCCAAAAACAATAGGCACTGTAAAGAATGTAAGTCCAATGTGATTTTTCTTCCCATACAGACTGTAAGTCTTCATCATTCAGAGGAGGAAGAACAGTGCTGGGCGCTGGGCCAGCCATGGAGGAGTGGGCATGAGGACAGGGGAGGGGTCAGTAATAACAGTGAGAAGAACTTCAGGATTTTACTCCAAAACTCTAAGCAAAGTGGTAAACTTATTTTTACAAAGTAGTAAATGTTAACTATTACATTGAAATAGTCGGACACTAAGAACGTGGGAGTCAACTGGCAATTCGTAAAGCATTAACATTAAAATATTTTAAAAAATACCTTTTCTAACCAAATGCTGGAGTACAGTAAATCCAAGGCGCGGCTATTCTAACAGTTCATTTAAAAATACTCATATGTGGGGGTGCTTGGGTGGCTCGGTCAGTTAAGCATCTGACTCTTGGTTTCAGCTCAGGTCATGATGTCAGTTTGAGCCCCGCATCAGGTTCTGTATTGACAGCGTGGAGCCTGCTTGGGATTCTGTCTCCCTTTCTTTCTGTCCCTCCCCCACTCATGCACCCGCATTCTCTCTCTCAAAATAAATAAATAAACTTAAAAAATATTCATAAGGAAATGGTGAAAATTAATTTCAAAAACACAATTAACATAAATACTTATTTACTCTTTAAAGAGGCAGTTTTATGCCTGGCATTTATAGGACCTGTGTATGTGGTCAGACTGATGTAAGGTTTATTCAGTATTCTCAATATTACTACCTATGCATATTCAACTGATACAAAAACTGGTAAAAAAAAATTCCGTGGCTAATAAATCTGTTCATTCATACATATACTTCGTATAAATATATAATATCTATAAATTATAAAAATATTACACATGCATATTTTAAATACAGTGTAATCTCACTTTACACACTTAGAAAAACACACAGCCTTACTCTACATATTTTAGGTATGAATTCAAAGTCCCATCACTTCATATAAACCGATACAACCGGCTATTAGGACCTTCCTTCCTCCTTTCCAGTTACCTTCACGTCACAAGTATTTGCTGCATGCCTATTAAGGATGGCTCTGGGGCAGACACAGGCCCGGTAGGCTTCAGGTTATCAGGGCAGACTCAGAGGTATTTATTTAGTATTTTAAAAATTCATCATAGCTACAGGAAAAACAACTCAGACAGAGCTCATACCCCACGGACACCAACTCTGCACATTATTGATGCTGAAATGGAACAAACCTTTAAAAAAAATATAGGAGCTGATCACCCTTTCCTTGTTCTCCCACTACTAAGACCCATAGGAAAGATCCTATAATTGGCTCATTGTTCTTTACTAGTTTTTCAGTTAGATGTGGGCAATTAGTTAGAACACTAAGAATGTGGGAATCAATCGGCATTCAAGTCTTTATCTGCGACATGTAATAGGAAAAACCATTAGCAAGTTTATGACTTACATTTTTGTTTACAGTTGAAGAGCCAGTGTTAAATAAGTTAAGTTTTGATTACAGGCAGGAATTTATACTTGTAAAATATGAATGCCTATAGCATATTTTAATTAGAATCAGCCTGCGATATTTCAGATTGAAAAATTAATTTCAAATATTTGCAAGTGAGTTAACTTTGAGAACAGAAAAGAATACAAAAGCGCAGGTAATGAATGCATTGCCGTGGTAATCACTGTGCAGGCACACAGGTTCGTATCTATTCATTTCAGCACGAGATTATTAGCTTGCGTTGTTCTAGAACAAACTGGAAAGATTATTCGTGGATATGGACCCTCAGCTCACAAGGTCTAATAATTCCTCTAAGTGAGAAGGTGGAGCACCCAGAGAGGCTCCCTCACCTCTTTGGCGATAGTTGTGATGAAGGCGGGTGGTCTGGCAGTGGCAATGAGCGAGAGGGCGTGCCTCGCAGAGCGGGCGGAGTCAGCAGCCGGGCTAAGAGGCAGCCCCATTGTGATGCTAAACAGGGATCAGAAAAAAAAGGAAAAGAGAAAAGAAGCATTAGAAATATAGACTGAAAAGATTAGACACAGCTTATAATGTCAGTTCAAGGTCAATGGGAGCACTCAAACAGTTAGAATATAATGGACTTGCAACAATGAGCAGTGATTAGGAGTCAGGGTGTTCTGGCATCAAATACAAAATCGAATAATTAACCGTGAAGATTGAAAACAGTATGTGCATCTGTCCAAAGTGTTAAAAACGCCTTGTTAACAAATTATCAAGAACTAGTACTGAACGCACATCTCAAAGCTCAGGATAAGGCAAGAAAGAAGACTGAGCTGGGCATTTTCAGTTTTTTTGCTAAAAAAAAAAAAAAAGAAATGAAAGGTAATGATTTGTTTGTAAGGCCACATAAAAAGGCTTCATTTAAGGACATGTGTCTGAAAGGAAGCAAAATTCACTTCTGTCCATAGAATTCTCAAAAGAACTGAAAATCGCAAAATTATTTTTAGTTTTTATAATTATTTTTAGTTTGAAATAACCTCAGTACTGTTAATTTACCTCATGGTCAATACTTTTAGAACCAATCTACTAGTCAGCACATTCTGCCAATGGTTATTTTGTATTGATGCAAAAATTATATTAATGGATACTTATTTTCTCTCTATAAAGATCATAGGCATGGCATTGTCCAGGCTATATATAAGCATATATACGTGATGAAATAAATCTTTCCAAGCTGTGAGACTATTCTCATAGGATAGTGATATTATATTCCTTTGCCAACCCTAAAACCTAAATATGACTTCTGTTGTAAGCTTCCTGTACATTTTACAGGGACTACTGTGAAAACTAGTTAAGAGTTTTTATTAAAATGTGGGATGTGATCCACACATCAGCTGTACACAAGGGGCATTTTGCTACTCAGTAAGAGATGCATCATAGTTTCTCCCTCTAGTTAAATAAATTCGACACTTAAATACCCATAAGAAATTATAGGAAGATTTTTCCTGCTCCAATTAAATAAGTATGCATGTTTCATGTGTAAACTGAATTGTGTTTACTAAAAATTCTTAAAAAGTTTACCAATATTTCTATGATTAGTCTAAGAATCATTATTTTAACTTTTAGATGAAAATAAGTATGCATTAGGCATTCTGATCACTGTTAACAGAAAGGTAAACTGATTATAAAGAATTCTGCTTATAATTTTTTTGTGACTGCTACATTGCTTAAATCTTTGACTGAACATCTAATGGTCTCCAGTCTTTTTTCCAAGCTGAGGGTAGATACAAAGCAGGATCTCAGAGAGGAGGGTGGACAGCATTCCTTTGATGTTTACCACTACAAAGATGTGTGAGCGGATGTACGCGCATATAGCGCGCATGTGCAAGAAACAGGAAGCCCGCCAGGGCGAACATATCACCTCCAAAGACGATCCTGACATCCTAGGTACTCGGTAGGGGCTGGAAAGAGGCGCTTAACAGTAAAGCAGGGCGGGGTAGGTGGCCAGTTTCTTTTCTGGATTAAACTTTACTATTGAGAATTCCAGAAAAGAAATGTTCACCGCGCGAGCACTGTTGGCCTGGATTGCTTAATAATTATTGTAACGTTTAGATCACATTTTAAGAAATTCAAAAGCTAATTACACCTTCTAGATTGTGTATGATGTTTCTTTCGCCAATACAAAAAGGTGTTGATATTATCAAAAGGCTGAAACCAACAAAACTGGTATGTTAACTAAATAATTCTGAGCAAACCTAACTCAAACTTCCTAAGATCAATAAAATCACAGAATGTCGGGAGTTGGAAAAGATCCCCAGGCAACAACCCCTGCCCGGCCGTCAGCCGTGGGGAAAGGATGTCTGTCTCCTGGGCAGCCTGGCCCATGTCTGGAAGGCACGGCAGGGAGGAAGAACTGGAAGTGGAATGTGAGGTCCAGGTTTGAAATTGAACTTTCCTACACTATGTCCTCATGCATCTGCCCAGGAAGGGGGTGGTATCAGCATTTTGTGAAGGGGAAGTTGGGTCCAGAGCTCAGTGAGGAGCCAAGGTAGTAGTGTGATGTCTTTCAGGACAGGGACCTTTGGAGAAAACAAAGGGGGGAGGGGCTTGACCATACTGTGGTTAACTGGATTGATGAACTGGTCACATGACCAAACTCTGCGACTTTGGATGAACGGCTAGACTGCACCCCCGAGTGGGGTTTCCAGTGGTATGTGGTAACACGTGGACTTCAGCTCTGTTCTTTTCAACGTCAATCACAATTAAATGAAGATACGCACAGTTATCAACTGGTGTGGACAGAAGGTTGTAATGGAAAGCAACTGTACTAAATGGCAGAAATGGGATTCAAACGGTCCTCAAAAAGATCAAATTGAGCTGAAGACAGAAGTCTTATGTGTGGTACAAATGACCCAACTTTACAGGAATGGGAAGACCAAGCTTACGGAGCCGGGGTAAGGGTTGCGAGTGAAGCACAGATACATATGTTAATGAGGGGGGCTGCCTAATGGGCTCCATTGTATCGAGGGAAACATGGTGACAGACAACATGTTGCCCCTGCTGAACTTCGTGGTTCTGGCTGCCTGTCTGCCATCCCCGTGGCGGTACCGCCCCCTTAGTGGCTAAGGGACGGGATCTGCCTTCTGCAGGCCAAGTGTTGGAGGACCCTTCCGGAATACATACAGGAGAGTCCCGTCTATTCCCAGCTGTGTGCTGTTGTGACCTCCTGCAGTTGGAAACCAGAGTTCTACTCACACAAACAGGATCCCACCAGACTCACCACCCACTGCTCTTCCAGCCCTTCTCTGTGCCCTCTGCAGAGAAGTTTCGTGGGAAGCCAAGAAGAGGGGGAAGGAAGGGAGAAAGAGAAGGGGAGAATGGGAAGGAATGGCTATGCATGTGTGTGTTCACCTGAGGATGACCAGTGACGAGTGGATACTGTACCCCTAACCTTATGCTGTGCTCTTTGGCCACCCTGGACTGAGCAAGCACAAGGTATGTAGAATGGGCCTATCAGAGGACCCACTTCACAAGGCTGTTGAGAAGATTAAATGAGCAGGCGGATGGAAAAACCTCCAGCCAAGCCTCTCACCTATATCATACATGCAATAGATGTTTCTTCTGGCCCGAGATGACTCTCACAAGCAGAAACAAAGTGAAAAGAAAATGAGAGGAACTAACAGCAGGTCACTGGTTTCAAGTTAAAGGCCTAGTCCCGTATCACCCTTAACCCATCTCAGCAAATGACCTTGTGAATTTGGGGAAATCGGCAAACTTCTTGTGGTAGGAAAAGTGGTCAAGTTCGGGGTCTGGAAGAGAAGCTGTAGGGTAATAGGTAAGGAAGCTAACCAAAGACCCATACGACTACTGTCCGTGATTTCAGCAGAAGCGGGGACACCCCACAATGTGCACGGGCGTCGATGTGTGCATTTGAGCGATTCCCACCATCAGTGTCTGACGGCCTACGTGCAGGACGTCACAATGTGGACACATCTGTTGCTCTGAGGTCAAGGTTCTGCACAGGTTCAGCATAGCCACAGTGCACAGGATGGAAGGTTTCACATGTGAGAACACAGAGGAGTGGCCAAGGCATAGGGGAAGAAGACAAACCTTTTCTCTCCTCTGTAGTCCACTTAATGCCCCACTGCCAGAGTAATCTTCCAAAAGCACTAACTTTATTTCATGGTTAACCTGCTTAAAAACCTCACTGGGTCCCAGTGCTTCTAAGAAAAATCTTAAACTCCTTGGCTTGAGGTCCTGAGTCCTCCATAATCTAGTTTCACTAACTCATAACTCAGTCTTTTCAACACCCATGCTCCTGAGGCCAGGATAATTTCAAAGTCCGTCCCTAGAATTCCATTTCTTTTCTGACTATAGTATGTGGCTTATGCTTCTCCACTACCCTCTCCCCATTGGCACACTCTCCTCCCTCCCTTCTGTTCAATTCTTGCTCAAGCCTGCGTGCTGGTCTGCAATTGCTAGAGCATTCAATTACAATCTAGTGAAACAAAAACAACCAACAACAAAACCCATTTATTCTAGGCTCTTAGCACTGAATCTGATTCTGCCAGGCATTATGAATTACTTTTGTATTGTAAACTCTGTGCAGATAGGTACCATGCCTTCTAATCCTGTGTATCCCCCCAAAGTGCCTAGTGCAGCCCTTGGACATCGTGGTAGCTCAATAGTTACGTGCTAAATGAAGTTACCTGGAAAATCCGGCAGGAAAAAAAAAAATCACTTAAGCCAGTTATTTGGCTGAACTGACCAGGCAATGAAGTCAAAGTAATTGATCTGGTAGTCCCAACAGACGAAGTCTAATTCTACATGTAGTTATCTTCAAAGTCAAAGGTGCACTGTGTATGTGATATATTTTAATGTGGGATTCTAACTGAATGAAGAAGGATCATACTCTCAGAGGTCTGAAATTAAAGGGGTGTCTGCCTTATTCTGGGATCTGTATGTGAACACAGAACTCACTCTTTTCATCTGATCCTGCTTATCTGGCTGTTATGCAGATCATTTGTTATTTAGGTTTATAAGATGGGTCTTTAGTTTAAAAAATATGAGATGACATACTCTCTATTTTACTCAGCACTTTGGTGTACACATCCCATATGAAATACCAGAGATGATGGATACTGTAAATAAAAATCATGAATAGAAAAATAGTTCACTCAGGCTGAGCTCATTCCTTACATGACTGCTCATTAATCCTGTTCTAACCCTTACTCCATTGTGGTAAAAGCATTTTAAAAGTTACATGTAAGACTGCTATAGTTAAATGTCACCATCTACAATTGTCAGACTTCCCCATCTGTCAAATTAAGGAATACTCTATGAGAATATTCAGGGGGGAAAAACCACTTAGACTTTCAGAGAACAACCCACAAATCATGGTCAACAGTATTATGGACTAAATGTTTGTGTCCCCTGAAAATTCACCCCAATGTGATGGTCCCTGGAGATGGAGCCTTTGGGAGATAATTAGGGTCAGATGAGGACATGTG